CCCCCCCCACACACAACCCCTTAACATCAAGCTGAAATGTGCCCTTTATATGCTACTTTCCACCCATTAAGCCTTCTTCTGCCTTCTAGGGCCAAGTGTAACAAGTAAATTCCTTTTTTTTTTTCTCATGACAGTATTTCATGTTACTAAAAAGAAAGCTAGTTTCTTAGCTTGTAAAATTAGTGGCCAAGATAACCTTAAAGATCTCTTATCCTTCAAATTCAATAATTCTGTGAGATCCTAGTTCCTACCTCAATACTGGACCATTTTCAATGGGAGAGTCCATTATATGGTAGAACATAGCTATCACACCCATCTCTCCTCCCCAAAGTCTTCCTTTTCAACCTAAGTATTCCTAGTACCTTTCACTGGCCTCCATGGGGTATCAGTCCAAGACTCTTGAACACCCAGCTTGCTCCCTAACTTGTCGATGCCTTACCTAAAATGTGATAACCAGAGGCGAACATGAGCACAGATGTGATTTGGCCACATCAAAGGACAGTAAGATTGTCACCTAAAACCACGCCTCTTACAGTGAAGTCTGAGATCCCATGCTTATTGGAACATACACTGTCAATACCCCCAAAGCCTCATGCAAGGATATCATTTTAAATATGATTTCCCAAAGCTTTGTTAAATGATGGAACCAGTCTGCCAAGTGACGCTTAGAATGGAAGAGAAGGACAAAGCTGTGGAAGATGGGGGCTGGGGAGATCAAAAACTAATTATTCTGGACAGCATGGTGGCCAGCTCCTTTTTTTAAATAGAATTGCAAAATTAGTGGAGGAAGGAAATGTGGTGAGTATTTTTATATTTGGGCTTCAGTCAAGGATTTCATATGCTTCTCTTAAGCAATTTGCCTTACAAAATTAGCTCAGACTAGAGCATAGTCAAATGACTTAAAACTGGCTGAATCAGTGGGGAGGGAACCAAAGCAATCTGGGGTAGGAGGTTCCCAATCTTAGCCCCCTGCAAGGGTGTGGAGCGCACTTGGGACAGCCTGACCTGCAATGCAGCAGAGAAAGCTCCTCTAAGGACTTCTGCCCTGGATGTGCTGAAACAGGACTTCTGGCTAACGTTGGGGAGGGCACAGCTTTATGTTCCTGGCCCAGGCCCTGGGGCTCGTCTCCACCCAGGATCTCACAAGGAGCCCACCAAGCCCACTGCTCCCACAGCTGGGATCCCCAGCAGAGGAGGATGAGCGAAAGGCACTGGAGATTCTTAGCCTGGAGAGGAGGCATAAAAATGATCTTCAACGTTCAAACAGTGGCCCTCGCAGGAGGAACTCAAGTTTTCTCCATGTGGTCCCAGAGGGCAGAACCAGCACCAATCGATCAGTTAACAAGTCAGTCAAAAAGCATTTATTAGGCACTTACTACATGCCAAGCACGTGTTAAGCCCCGCTGAGGCAAAGAAAAGCAAAAACAACACCTGCCCCCAGGCAGCTTTCATTTAAATGGGAGGAACAATGTGTGAAGAACCAAGCACATCACACACATACACAGAATATATATAATATAATTATAATATAATAATATAATATAATATAATATAATATAATATAATATAATATAATAT